CCGAAGGCCAACCGTCTGGACCGGCTCCCCACGGGGTGGAGGAGGGGCGTCGCAGATATGCGAACGCTGTTAAAGGCATCCGCACGGCTGTACTGCCACAAAACTACCCGACAGAGTCGTTGAAACCGGAGGAGCTTACCGTGCTCCAGGATCTCCTCATGGAAGAAGTGTTCAGAGGGGATGAAGACGAGGCGGCCTTCCTGGGGGTGGAGTTCAGAGGAGGTATGCGGCAAGTGGACTGCATGGACGAGACGTCCGCCAACTGGCTGCGAGAGTTCGCCCCAAAGCTGGGAGGTTGGAAGGGCCCTGTCCTCTGCGCGAGGATTTGCCAATCATGCTTAGCATGACAATGTTCCTCCCCGAATGCGGACAAACCCTATAAATTCGCCCTAGGTTTGGTGAAAAATCAGAACCGGGGCTTCAGCATTTCGCCCTGGAGCGTCGTCAGCAGCAAAATAGAGGAAATTTGAGACATGAAAGGTTGGAGATTGTACTTTTACATTGACGACGAGTCGTGCAAGTACGTCCGGGCTGCGAGCTTCCGCCTGTATTACAGTTTCAGCGCGGTAGTCATACGGCCCCACAAGCCTGCAGCCACCAGGAGCAAGGAAGCCCCAAAGCAGGGGCATCGAAAAACAGGCAGTGACCGTGGCAACTTTGGAGGTAGTAGCAATGCAGGTGAACGAACGGATCAGCCCGGCTGAAGCAGGACTGGGCAGGCAGTGCCAGCGGCGACCACTGACGTCACCGATGTCGGCCACTGCGGCCAGAGAGCAGAGCTACCCTCCACGCAGGAGCTCCTCGACGGGTTAGGAGACCCACTTGATGACAACGTTATGGACGGCGGGGAAGAGGATCTGCCCTTCCTCTAACCCATATTATAATTGCAGTCATACACGCGGCTGCAGCCTCAGCTGTCATAACGAGCAGGTTCACAGCGGAGAAATTGGGCATACTACTGATCCAAGAACCTTGGGTCCACAGAGGAGACTTCAAAGGCCTCAAGACGGAATCAAATAAGGTAATCTGGGATCACTCTAGCGAGAGATCTAGAACTTGCATAGTTGTCAGGAATAACAGTGAATTCTTCTGCATTTCAAAGTTAATGACGCAGGGTCTGGTGGCGGTGCAAGCCAAGGACTTCGAAGGCAAGGACTTCGTCCTGGCTTCAGCCTACTTCCCAGGGGAGACATCTACGGCACCCCCGGAGGTGGTGAAAAGGCTGGTGGAGCATTGCAGAAGGCACAGGCAACCCCTTATCATAGGCTGCGACGCAAACGAGTCTCGTCCCAGAGGATGGAAAAGATAAGTGGCAATATACCATTGGCCCTCCTCCCAAGAGACATCGCTACCAAAATGGTTAACATCAAAAAAAAAGTTTAAGGTCACCCTCGGCAGTAAAGACGAATGGAACGACCCCAACCTCGAGCTGATGTTGAGGAACAGCACTTTGCGGTGGTACACCGATGGCTCGAAAATGTCGGAGGGAATCGGCGCAGGGATTATGGGCCCACGCACCGAGCTCTCCATACCCTTGGGAGAATTATCGAGCATTTTCCAGGCAGAAGTTTTTGCCATAAGCCGGTGTTTAGAAATAAACCTCCATCACAACTATCGCAATGAGGGAATAGCCATTCTCAGCGAAAGTTAAGCGCCGATAAAAGCGATCTCTTACGAGATCAAATCGCTACTAGTGTAGGAGTGCAGGGAAAGGCTGAACAGCCTTGCGGAACGAAACCAGGTACACCTAATTTGGGTGCCTGGTCATTGAGGTATAGCCGGTAACGAACTGGCGAACGAGCTCGCCCGCTCCGCAGCCTCCACCAAGATGGTAGAACCCGAACCCTTTACGGGGGTGGGTCCCCATACCATGGAGGAGCTGCTCCGCAAAGAAGGGGCTAGGAGGACTGGGCAAGTAGGAGCATTGGCAACAAACTCATGGCATGAGTCATGCCAAGTTGCTAATGGGTGGATACAACATGAGAAAATTCAAAGTTGTAATAAACCTCCCCAGGAATAAGCTCAGGCTACTAGTTGCATGGTATACCGGCCTCTGCATGCTGAATAGGCATCTGCACATCATGGGCCTATCCTCTTGCGCTAACTGCCGGTTCTGCGACAGGGAGCCTGAAACCGCGGAGCACCTGCTGATCGACTGCATAGCAGTCTGTAGACGCAGGACTAAGGCCCTTGGAATGATGTTTCCGGATAGGGTTCACATTGCCTCACTAGCACCGGGTAGTTTATTGGACTTCATTAATGTGCTGGGGGCTAAGCGCGTCAATGTGGGACAGGAGAGGACGCAATAGACCAAAGGTCGCGGTTCATTCCTCATCTTCATTCATTCATTCAAAACAAAGAGATATAAGTATAATGGTGTCGACATGCTTTTTTGGCAAGGGCTGGGTCAGATTTATTCTATCATTCCTGATGGTTCCTATGTCGAAATATTTCAGAACACAATGCTGCCGTATGGAAGAGACTTGTTTAGACGTTTCAGCAAGAGAATGACCCCGAATATATAAGAAATGTTGCCAAGTGGTGGCTTGAAGAACGGAATATCATCCACATCTCATCAGAACTTTGTAGTGTGATGTCAAAGACAAATCGAGTTTTATTTATTCGACTACTAAGTTTTTGGCCGTGAAATTTGGCCTAAAGTTTAAATATATATAATTATAATTCACTGAAATGAGTTAAAAAATTTGCCTTTTTGTGATTTGTTTTATACCGTTAAAGCTTTTATGTTGTAATTTTTTTTTTTATAAAAGTCTGAACAGTTCCTCTTAAATGTTTGCGCACCACTAAAAATTTGACCGCAGCTGTACATTCCCATGAAGTACGATACAAATTGTATTCATTGCTTATTTTGTCTACAGCAGCCGTCATGCTTGACCAAAAACAATACTGTAACGAAGATCCCCTCCATATTCGCTAGACATGACCCGTATAATTAGTTCCCATTTCCGAAAATACCTTGGAGGACCTTAAAGGGCCGTCGATGTCAACAAAAACCTTAGATGGTGCTAAAAACGCATCGCCGAAAGAGCTGAAGGCTATCCCAAAATTACAATTTAAGAAGCGTTACGACGATTGGAAGAAGCGCTGGTGTAGGTACGTCGAATGGGACTATCATAAAGGCGACAATATTAACGTGGACAAAGAATTTGTTTTTAAAAAATTAAAAAAATTTTTTGAAAAATTAAAAATTAAAAAAATTTTTTCATAATTTTTCATTACCTACAACATTTTTTCTATAGAATTCGTAGGTTTGTCGGAAATCGGAATAAACGGTTTTTAGCGATTAAAAATTCAACTAAGCCAGATTTGGTATTACCACATAACCAGAAATAGATGCTCTGTGAAATTCAATCAGAAACCTCACATAATTACCATTATATACATATAAGATATAAAGTTAAGCGAATATATAAAAATCCGTATATTTGGTACATAGGGACTAGGAGATGACCCGAGTATTAAAGTGCTCCTATTATTTTTTTATTACACTGAAAGTAATTTTAGCATAACGATTACATGGCTAGTGGTCATGCTTATAATCTGAAAATCAAATACATAATCCCATACACAATACTCACCACTGATTTCTACATACAAACATGGTCTTTTTTTCAATTGCAACAGTAATATATGTAGGAGTATAAACCATATAATGAAATTAATAGTTTTAGACAAATTGTTTTATTACAATTCATTTAGTAGCCCCCAATTAAAACTTTTACTAAATTTTTAATTTTTATCATAAATATTTTTTATTTTACATACATTATTAAAAACTACATCTCATCATAGTTGTGTTAAAATGTGTGATTTCTGATTTGAGTTGTCGTGTACTGTGCAATTTTATTTAACTTTGTGTTATAGAGGATGTTCGAGTCTCAATCACTACGGCAGTATCGCAAGGCATCATTTTCGACGCAAAAATGTTGCAATATAAGTATCATCCCAATACTCTTGCCATTTTGTATTGACTGTTGGTGATAAAGGCACTATGTTTATATATAACATTTACTTTATTGTTTTTACTTTCCAGTTTTAGTTTAGTTAAATATATTTTTTGCAAAAGCAAAATATGAATGTTTATATGTATTCATGCTATTTTTATTTGTAAATCATAAAAAGTATATAAAATTCGTTTATTTTATTGTATTGTATTGTTTTTTTTTTTTTTAACTACAATATAATATTCAATAATAACTGGAAAATGAAGGAATGATATATAAAAAATAAATTATTAAGCCAGAACTTTAAACGAGGTAGTGCTTAAAAGAAATAAGTCATTTTCTAAAGAGATGGAGCTTTTAAAACTATAAATATTTTTTATTAAACAATAATCATTCATTTAACGTATGCACATGTATGTACATTAATATATGCAAATATATTTGCTTTTATATTTGTTCATTTCGGCTGATTAATCCCATGAATTTGGACCACATCTTCATATCTTAAATTAGTATACAGGAAAGCTGTGTATATATAATATATATAAATTCTTTACATTAAAATCTTTTATATATGGTATTCCACTCAAATTTTTTAATGGTTATTTGTATGCCTATCTACCTACTTAGTTTTTAGTGTAAATATTTTATGTCTATTAGAAAAATGTTTTCGAATTTAGGTTTTTTTTTTTTTTTAATTCTAAAGACTTGTATCGTAAAACTTTTGTAAAATATTTTATATAGTATGTATGTATATGTATTTAAATATTTGTATTTTTATAATTATTTTAAGGCTAACAGCAGAGCGTTCGCTAGTGGGAATTGTTGAAATCACGCTTTAATTTTCTAGCTTATGAAAACAAAATAATTATTACTTTTATAAGTTGTTTTTGTCTTTACAGTTGTGAATTAAACGTATTAACCATATTGGTTTACTAGATGTTGTAACAGCAAAGTGAAGTACTTAAATAAAATAATAATTTATTCGTTTTGAAAGCGACAATTTTTAGCAAAAGAAACAACTTTTCTCAATAATTAAGATTAAACATTCTTCTGTCAGCCTTTATTCTGTGAATAGTGTTGATTTCATTTAAATCTCCTCTTCAATTATAAATCCTGATGAATTTCTCGTGTATACAGTCTATATTAATTATTATTGATGTAAATAAATATACTATCTGTTCTTTTCTGCACGAAATTTATTATTTATATATAATTTTTTTAATTTCTGTGTATCTAAATATACATATTTATGTCATTCAAAAATTATTGCACAAGTCGAAAGATGTTAGTCGCAATTCATTTAAATGAGTGAAAGAGTACATGCTATAAAATTATTTTATATAATTATCCTTACATAAATGTATCGATCTCCTATACAATACTTTATGTGAGTCAGCTAACATCTACCTAAAACGAATGGAACTTACTATATAATGGAAAATGCACTCAATGCTTAGACAGGTTCAGCGGCACGTCTGCAAATTAAGAAACAGCAATTAAAATAAAATTGGATAATAATAATAATTTCTAATATTAACATCTTTCTTCAATACAAACAGCCTCAGAAACTATTTATGTAGCAATTCAAGGCGATGATCCTTATAACTTTGAGCAAAGCTGATGAATTTATTTATGTACTAAGTTTAACGATATTCGTGGTTGGTCTGAAATAATGTTATACCAATACCAAAAAATAATTAAAATACCAATCAGGGGCGGATCCAGAGTAGAATTTTAGGGTTTAACTCTCCATAGTTCCACCCCCGTGGTTCCACGTCTGATACCACTGATATGTAAACCATTTAATCGACAAAGCAACCAATACTAAACATTTGAATAAAGAAACGCTGAAAACATCCACCAAGTTTTCTACTACAAACTGGATGGAAAACTGAACACATATCTATAGGAACTAAAAAGGGGTAGATAATAATTATTTACGTACCTGAACTATGTTCTTTTTTGCTGCTAGACATTTCTTCTGGGACCGAGTCAAGACCCGTTGCATTATTCGCGATTGCCACAGCGTCTAAATCAATCGTTCTCTCAGTAATTGTTGCCGCTGAAACTTTTCTTCCGCCACAAGCATTTTGAGATGGATGATCGGTAGGTACCACTGATACGCTGTTCTGGCTATGCCCATGTATTAAACCTGATGAAGCCAATACATGTTGTTGTTGCTGTACTACTGCCGCCATAGCCGCATTAACTCCATTGTAAGCAAAGGTGTGAAACGCTGGCGGTGAAAGCCTCAGTGAAGCCGTCGCCGTCGCCGCAACTGATGACAGATGCAAAGGTAAAGACATGCCACCATAGTGTGACCATAGTTGGGGTTGTCTCAAGGCAGCCAATGCAAAATATGGATTCATATAAGCGGTCGGCAACACCGATGGAATGTATGATCCAGCGGAACTATTTGTTCCTCCATGCCCAATAGGAAATGTACTCGTTGAAACGGGCGAACTACGTGGAACTTGATTTGAGTTGTCATTAGGTGCCACTGCTGAATACATATAATAGTGATGAAGTGGTGAAGGAACTGTGTTATTATTTGGCGATCCACGTAGCAATTGATGACTCCCACTACTGCAAGTATTCACAAGAGAAACAGGAGTTTGATGGTCCTGAGTTGAGTAGATTTCTTCAGTGTGACGATCCCCTGACGAGGGGTTGGCAATACTTAATGCAATGACATTGGGCGAAGCGAATTGCCTACGAATTGATGCAGTCTTTTTTGGTACAGTTCTTGATATAGTGTCACGCGGTGAATCGGAAGTTGTCTGCGGTGTTGGTGGCGAGTTTTCTCTACTATTGCCAATAGAACACGAAGATGATTGATTAACTAGAATTGCTGATGATATCGAAGGTGAAGATGTTCTACTAAAAGCTGATAGATGTCGAGGTGATCTCGCTTCATGAGGACCGCAAGAACTTGACGATATTGACGGTGTTGTATCTGTGAGCACTGACGTACTCGTAGGAGGTACATATTTTGATAATGGCATGTACGGCACATAAAACCCCTTATTTTGTGAATGTAAATGAGAATGACTTCCACAAAGTATTGTAGATGTTGTATCTATATTACTAGATTGTTCGGAGGCATAACGGGTTTTACTGTTTAACATTCCTGCATCACTGTTAATGTGTAAATCGTGCGGAGAAACGTAGGGTGGAGACCGTTTTTTTGAAGCTGAAGTCGACGGTGATTTGCCTCCGCAACCAATATTACATTGTTCTGGCGATTTGGGTGAACCAAGCATTGAACGCAAATAAGAGGGATCATTATAATGCGTTTGGGGCGAAGCATGTTGATGTTTTGAATGATAGCCCTTACTACTAAGAACCGTGGTTTCGTTGGTTATTGTACTAGGACCAGTATTTGCAAGTGATATAGACGGTAGTGTGCTACTACAAACATTACCCCCTAGTAATGAATGAATGCTATATGAGCTGTACAAGCGTGTAGGTGTAGTTGTCAATATTGACTCTGTTGATGATGACCGAATTGAGCTGTTGCCGGATTGGCTTATTTTTGACGGTATGTTACTATTTGCATTGACGTTATTACGACTATTGGGCGATTTTGTTCTATGATGTGGCGACGACGACGATAATGTTGCGTTATTTTTCGCACGACTTCTCTTTCCTCCAGCTGAATTGGAATTATCCTCCAAAGATACTTTTTCGAATTCGCGGAGAATTCGCTTTCGCGGTGATACATGATGCTGTGGATACTCGACTAGACGCGTTGCAGTTGACGCATTCGATGGTGAAACCTAATGTAATAGGCATTAAAACATTAAAAATGTCGTATCGTAAAAATCGTCTTATTAACTTACCTTTTGCGAGATTGTATTAGTAGAACCAAAAAAGCTATTAGTGGGCCCAATTGATTGATTTAGCTTTGATAGTTGAGCAAGGCGTAAAGGCATTCTGTCTATCAACTTTTGGACAATTGTACTTAATTTAAGTCGAATTTTGCCTTTCTTATGTCTTTTATCGTCACCACGTTGATCAAATACATCTTGAAAATGTAGTTTATCTGATTGCGAATTGACGCTGCATACTTCTGATGTGTTGCCATTCAGAGTGGGTTCTGTCCCGTCATTCTCATCCATCGTTGATATCAAATCAGTATTTTCAACATTATTCATATTTTCTGGAGAGTTTATTTTATTTTCTTCTGTTGTACAGATTTGCACTTCTTCAGTGGGTTTATTTTCAAATAGTTTGTCATTTGGACAGGGTGAATGAGGTAAAGAAATCGATGACGGAGTTGGCGTTTTAACTTCCATTTGTTCGTCTGTAAAATCGTAACCGGTTAACGTTGCTGTAGACGAACTTGAGCAACAATCTTCTTCATTTATTACCCCACATTTAATTTCTTCCTTCCATGTTTTGCATTTAATATCACTGCCTTTATTAACATTTATTGGTTTTGTGTCACGTTGATGAGATGGATTCAATAATGCTTTGAAACTCTGTTTTTCTTCTAACATTTCTTCATGACTTTTTAAAATGAAATTTCCATTAGTGCACAAATTAGTGTCGTATGGCCTTCGATGTTTTCTACGAGCAATGGCAAATGCAGCTTTAGTCAAAATGACAATCTTAGGTCGCTGGTAATAGAACGACATGGCTTTTGAAATGCTTTTACGAGGAGATTGTTGTTTCCAAGAGTGTTCTCGTTGCCATGGTGAAGATTGTATAGAACTGTTGTCATCAGAAACTATAAATAATATTGTTTGTTAGAACTTAATTAGTTATTTAACTCAGCAGAAACTTACAGCTTAGAGATGCTAAACTTTCATTCTTAGAGCATGTTATCGATGTGGCCAAAGTAGGGGTAACTGTTGATGAAGTGGCTGACGGTGTGCGAAAAACTTTCCTCGGAACCGATATCCATCCATTCTTTGAACCTTCTTTAGAACGCGCCAATTCTAATATTACTTTTCCATCTGAAACAAAAGCCGGACACTTCAGTACATTATTCTAAATAAAATTAATTGTTAACTAAAAATATGTTTTCATCAATATTATCCTTCAAGAAGCGTAGAAAGCACATTACTTACTTTTGAAAAATTTTAATCTTCCGCCAATATTTCCACTGCTGCCAGATGAATTATAGGTTTCGGTGTCATTATTGCTGCTGCCACCATTTTTATTAACCAGAACTTTTTCCGTTTTGCTGTTATTTATGTCTTTATCGCTAAGAGCATGGCTGCTATTATTGAGTGCAACAGCAGATGTTGAACTCGGTGAACAATCAATGACTCCAATATTTGAAACTTTAACACCACTGCCAACAACTCCACCAATTAGGTGAGCTGATAGGGATGGTGTGCACCCAGAACCCAATGCAGCAGCAGCTGTGGCCATAATTTTATCGGTTTTTTGCAATGATTTATTGGTAATTGGCGATAATAAAACAATTGAAATGATTGTGAGTGCTGCGGCTTTAGACAAGGTTGTAAAAATTCTTGATGCCTCTGTCTTTGGAACCGATTTAAAGTCCTTTGTAGTCGTTGACGTTGCAACAGCACCATTTCTCGCAGTACACTTATTTGTCGACACAGCCGCCCCTTTCCTTTGATAATTTTGTGAATTTAAGGAATTTCGCGCACTAATTGGATGTTGTAAACAAGACAATCTTGAACGTTAGGAAGACGACATAAGTAATATTTGATATTTTCTTACTCTTGTCGAATTATTTTCCTTAATTTCCAACTTATTATTCATACGATTTTTTCTATATAAAAAAATCATATTTTAGTGGATCACACGAAACCTGTTGGCAATTTTTATTTATAAATTATATTTTGACCGAGATCCCCTTGCTATCATAGTGCTCTACAAAATATCATTATTATTATTATTATTTTTTTTTTTTTTGAAAGTTACTTGTTGTTTCTGTATGGAAAAATTTGTTGCAAAATTGTAAATTTCTAGTCGAACTAGATGCAAATTGTCTTGTGCCTTATTTTCCGGATGTTACAGATTGTAGATCTGAAATTCATATGCATTCGATCTTGAATGTTTTTATCTCACGATTTACTTCATGCCTTCCATATATGTATATACTTTTCACCTCAGATACATATGTAGGCACTAAAGTAATTGCAGTCAAATAATTTTTTTTTTTTTTTTTCAATTTTTAATGTGTATGCACTTGTTTTTTCGTAATAGTAAATAGTTCTTATTTTATTGAAATGGTACAGGAAAGAATGTGTATGAGCACATGGTCATATTTACACAAATATGTACATATATCCTTCATATGAATTGGTAAACAATGCAAAATTTACACATCCATAATGGCCTTTTTAATTCGCACCGACATAAAATATTGCAACGTTGTAATTACATACACTCATGTATACATTCAAAATATAATTGATTAAAAATTCAGCTTGTACTCTCTTCCGAGAAATGTAAATATAAATACAATAGTCATATCGCAACTTGCTTGCAAGAGAAACCTTTGTGCTCTAACGCATTACTTTCCAATATTCCTCTTTCAAATAGCCTTTTGAGCAAAGAATTTCAAAGCCATGTCAAAAAAATGATGCCTTAATATTTCACGAAATTTAAACACACTATCTCATTCACAACTTATGCCCCAAACCACTCCAATGCACAACAATCAATCAAGCAACTCGTCATCTCTTTAACTGCAGCATGTCCAGTGCACTGAGCATACTAACATATCGAACTGATTGCGATGTTTGAGCACAAACTACAATTGGTACTACAAAAATAAAACAACAAAAACTGACACATTGTGATGTGTAAAGTAAATTCATTAAATGCAAAAGCTTTACAAGTATAGCAAGACTGAGAGTAATGTGAAGCAGACAGTCCGGCAGGGCGGCCTGTTTGGTCTTAAACAGCTTACAAAAACGAAAGGTAGAGATATTCATCCATACAAAAATGGGAGCTTAAGTCAATATATAACTCTCCGCAAAACTGCCATTTTGTTTTATGAATTAGTATATGTAGTAAATAGAAGTCTATATTCAATTTGTGCAGCCCATTATAACATTTGATATTTAACGTATTTGCTATATTTTCAAATGTGAATACAGACATGTTGAAATATATTCTGATAGTACAGATGTTTTGTTTCTAGTAAAATTGATTGGATCATAGTGCAGCATAAATGGTGCAATAGATTTGAATGATGTCCGATTACAAAAAGTTGTGGTTCGGCAACCAAAATGGGGTAAGCATATTTTTGGAATCATTTGATAATGATAAAGAAACCTGCTAAAATGGGAGAGATATGAAGACCTCTCTTTATCAAAATTAATTCATATAAATATTTTTCAGTGAATTTCCTTTTGGTGGAGAGCAAATGTAATTGTCTTTTGTGCATTCTCTCTGTTTATACGTTCTCCGAATATTTAAGCTGCGTTAATTTTAATCATCCAAATATTTTTTCAGTCGTTTTGTTTAAAAGCCTTAAGAAAATTTTGCAAATAATGTCCTGAATATTCGGCAAAACCCCATTTTTAAAACTTTGTAGGTAATCTCCGTATCAACAGTTTAAGGCCTTTTTAAATGTGTATTGTGCGAGTAGGTATATATTTTTTTATCACCGATTTCAGCATTTATTATACACATATTATATTACTTCTCAACATCAATTGTTTATAAATCATATTACTTAGATATAATACACATACATATACTATATAAAGACATCGTGTAATATCCCCATAAAAATTTATGCTCAATAGTAGAATGTACACAACACGATTCATAGGGCTTTCATTTTACACTTTTCAGTTTTAGTATGTTATTATTTAGTAATTTATCGTACCTGCAATTGTTTTCACTACTATTTACATGACCCACAAAATTTATTCTCGTATTTATATTAAGTACATGAAATTGCAAACTACTACTTGTACTAAAAACCACCATTGTACTCTAAATTGGAAAGAAATAGGCGATGATGATTTACATATGCACATACATATATCGACAAATTAAATAAAACACATTTAAAAGAGTTGTCAAGTGAGCACCTGGCTTAAGTACCAACATTAAACTTTTTATCAAACATGATATTATTAACTTTTAAGCCGAAACTAGACAAATATTTTAGTTTACTAAATTATTGAACACGTATGTATAACGGCGGTGAAAACTTTCATGCAACACATTTACCTCGGCCATGAATGCATACATATGTATTAATGTGCACCATACTTGACACGGAATAGGCGTAATAGCAGTTAGCTGGTGTACGCTGGAAGGGAAGAGAAATATTTGACAATTACCCAAGCCTTTTTCTATGAAATTCACTTTAATTAATAAAATCATTTGCAAAAAACAGCACACAATTTGATTTTGATCAGTCACATTTTCAATATTCTCAAATTAAAACATATGTACGTCAGTTAATTATAAAACCAAGTCAAATGGAATTATTAATGAAAAATGCAGAACACAACGCGAAACACACAATAGAGAAACACAAGGCGATGAAGCAACGAACTAAACGAACGACAGCAAAGAAGAATTGTACGAGCGGACAAATGAACGACGCAGGGAATGCAGCAGAGAATTTAATATATACATATGTATGAATGAATGAATGTATGTGCAATATGATTATACATTCTCTGCTGTCAACATAAAAACCTCGAACTCTAAAAAGGCGTATCTATATGTATGGTGTAGCAGCCATAAGCATCATTTAAACAGGGATTTATTAAGAGAGGTTTATCTCATAGAAGAAAGTTTTTTGGTTCCTTTCTTTAATTACGTTATGTGAATTCTGCACACTTTGACGGCTGCTGCGCTGCAATCGGCATGCTGCTCCGATTATTAGTGAGCGAGTGTGTAAGCCATATGTTACATCGTGGGAAAATTCCTCCGAGCGTGGGAAAATTTGGTGTCGACAATATTTGTCCCACTCGCACAAAAAAAACACCCAATATATTAAAGGAAATTCTTTTAGTACACATTCGTAGGGTAATACATACATACGTACCTAAAAAAAAAAATTTTTAGAAAAATCTAAATTGTAGCATTTTATTGAAGTAAAAGCTATAACTTCTCATATCTTTGGCTTAATTTACAATTTTTTTAGTACATTATCATAGGGTAACTTAACACTACACTTTTAGGAATATCCAAATTATAAAAGTTTGTTAAAGTAAAAGCTATATTTTCACATATCTTCGCTTAATTAACAAATTTGTTAAGTTTACCTTTTATGAGAATTGAAATTTTTATGCAAAATTTTCTCATGTAGTGTTGTACAATGTTATGCAATTATAAGTCAAAACAGCGAAATGAATAAAACCAAGGAAAGCTTTATTAAATTTGATAAATAGATAAAGTTAAAATTAGGGGCCAATATTGATAGAAATAAGGATTGCGACAATTTGTTCCTCGTATACTTTTAACGAGGTGTCTCGACAGACAAAAATTTATGGCGTACTAACTGTCAAATCTATTGCTATTGAGATTGCCAAATCTGTGTGGGCATTTGTTATCATCACAACATCATTTGCGAAATGGCGACAGGTAGGTAGGTTCGAGCTGATGTACCGCATGTTTTGAGCTCTTCAACTGGTTAAAGTTTTATATGGATGAAAAAAATTTATATGGGAAATAAAAAAAGAGAAATATACTTTTTTCTACAAATGTATTTTTTGTAAAAAAAGGTTTTATATTTTCGGACTATGATAATTATGGCATAAATTTTATATACAAATTAAAATAATAAATTATAATGATATTTTGATTTATGCTTCTATAAGTTTATTAAATTTAAGACTTCACCGATTCGTCAATCCATTTTGTAAAATGTTTCCGCAAATTAACAATATTAAGATAAATATTAATTTTTTGGAAAACTATATTAATTATTTTGAAAATATACTTTATTTTTATAATTTAACACAACCATCTTAATACTCGCTCTACCAATTTTAATATTACCGAAATGAAGCAGCCGTCGGTATATTTGTGAAGTGGGATGTGTTGCCTCTTCGAAATTTTCGTAGAAAGAAAACTGATATGTCAAACTGCTGAAGTGACAGCTTATTGCTTTCACTATATGGCATACTAATTAGTACTCCATATATTGCTTTTTATAAGTCTCCACAGGCAATCCGCACAGCAATACAGTTAGTATACAATAAATTTTTACTTGTTGATATGCCCCGTTATGTTCAATCCAAGTCTAAACATATTTCATGCCAGTCATTGGATTCTCATTTTCGTAGTATGATAAAGCGATTATAATTTCCATAAAATTTTGAAGAGGGAACATTTATATACCTAGCTTCGATAATAGCAGTAAAGATGATATGCCAATGTCCCATATTTTTTGTTATGTTGTGGCAGCTATAATTTCCCAGCTGGAACTGATGGAGTTCATTATGCTCCTTAACTGAGAGCATACGGAAGAATCATATTGTCGTAGCTCGGAGCGCAGTGTTCTGACAAGTCCTAAGTCCGCGACCATATTGATGCGGCGTAGTTGAGGGCCAACCGGCCGATTGCTTTGTAAGTGGCCGACAATGTTTCTTTGTTCTTTCTCCCATGTGCCGCCAGCTAGCTGACTTGAGGATTTTGTAATCGCGGTCGTATGAGGAGTGAAGGAGCATAGACCAACAAAAATTACACCTAAAAACTCAGAGTTACGCACTGAATGCGACGAAATTGGCCTAGTTTATATAACATAAAGATATTAAAACCCTACAATATCCGAGACAAAAAGTAACTAAATGAGTCCGTTCATTAAATGAAGAATTTATGTACAGTCATAAGGGCTACAAACAATCTCATTGCTAACTAATATGAGCTTATTTCATTTCATTGTAGCAAAAAATATGTATTTTCGTAAAGAAGAGCACATGCTGCAATAGTTGAATAATTTTTTTTTTTCTAATTGCTGCTTCCGACTGAAATTAGCTACAAAAATCTCCAAGCAAAGTGACCCGATATCCCTTTAGAAAGAAAAATTATAATAAATTGTTTAAGCTTTTCTTTAATCTTCTAAATTAGTTAATATGTACAAAGTTTTGGCGTCCTTAACAATGTGAATTTTAAATGTCAGACAAACCTATTATTACACCATACATATGTATATTATGTTCAATATTTTCATATACAAAATTTTATCTTTATTTTTTGTTTCGAGACAGAATGTCTTCATCAAAAACTTAGAGAAATTTCTGTAAATGAAAATAAAACACGAACCACATGTAATACCTACATGGAACACTTAATTAGGTCAATAATTATGTATCTCCTTAATAAAAATATCAGAAATGTTTAACGGCAACTAATTAATAGCTAGTTAACATTAAATTCCCTATTATACAAATTGTTCTTGACTATTAGCCGAAATTTCCATAAGCCGCCAAGCTGATTTTGGATTTAACTCGTTGGGGTCTCGACAAAGGACCCACACATAATTCACTCGCATGACCTTGTCTGGGTCACCTTCCACTACTTCGTGGTTCTTATCACGAACACACATAATTTGTTGCGCTTGAAAAGTAACTATAAGTACTGGCCCATGTTCCATAACTTTACCCATCGCCAAGTCTATATTTTCGATATCAAGGATTTTCGAATCCAAATACATACCAGACTTAATAGCTTGGTTTATAGGTGTTGCAATTATATTGTAGGTGCTTTCAAAACACCAATCCTTAAGGATTTCTAAATTTCCCCTCACCATTGCTTCTAAAATGTTCGGTATTATATCAGTCTCGCAGTCGCGAAGAAACTGTTTTTGATCGAAGTTTGGATCAATTTTGCATAGCTCTGTAAGTGTTTCTGATAACTCAGTTTTCGAAAAAAGTCCTCCCATAACATCTGAAAATTTATCTGTTAAGAGGCGAGAAGCGCGAATCATAGGATTCTCCGATTCGTCGTATTTAAGTTTCCAGTCAAGTACTTTATTCACATATGCATTGTTATTTTTAAAATTTTCCCACGATTGGTAGAATTTCGAATCCTTGTGAAGTTCGACTCCTAACGGAATAAAACAAAATACAAATATTTATGAATAATTAGATATTAGTATAAGTAGAATTTTTGCGAACTTATATTTGAATGTAAGTTATTATATGATATCTATATATTATATACATATATCTCGATCCTATTCTGACTAATTAGAAAAGGTAAAATCAATTCGATAAAAATGAAAAGGGCGTATGACTAATAATTAGAGAATTTAAATGTGTCAATCGCAAGTTTGTTCCAAAACGAATTCAAGTTTTACTTAAAAGATTTTTATCCTCAATCATTAAAACACTATTTCTGTAATAATTTTTCCCAAAGTGTTTATAACTTATCACACCTTGTTTTTTCCGAGATTTAGGAAAAATTATTTTTTTAGGGATAAATTACACTTTTTAGTTTTGGTATTAACAAAAACATAGCGACTCTCAATCAGTAACATTTGCAACATAAAATGCCTTTCTTGAGTTTGAAAAATTCGAGTCGTTAAAGGACAGAGATGGTTGGATTTACTATATTCGCTTTTCTATATAAAACATTCAAATTAAAATACTCGCCCTTTAATACCTGTTGCATCAGCATTAGGCTCAACCACTCGCTCATCACTTGCATATTCGACTTCAATGCGTTTTCGCAATTTTTGAGGAGAGCGATAAACCCTTGAATTTATGCTTTGAGACCCTATTTCTTGTTTAATAATTTCTGTAGTTGTTGATATGGCCTGAAAAGCAGATGTCTGTCCAATTTTTTCACTTTTCTCAGTTATCGTTTCAGTTACACCTTTAGCCGTCTTCGAAATTTCTTCAGATAATTTTGTTGCTTTCTTTGCAATATCGGATTTACTTGCTTCATCTATTACATCACTTACTTTGTCCTTTATACTTCCTAATTGCTCCTTCAAAATATTTGAAGACTTTTGTGCCTCAGATTCAACTATATTAAATTTCTGCCTAGCCGATTGAAGAGCTTCAGACTGCTCCAATTTCTGTGCTTCTTCGCGAAACTTTTTTATATTCTCTTTCATTTCTTTATTTTTATCAATTTCTGATCTAATATTGTCGATGAACTGCGAAAAAAATCCAGGTCTTCGGCTTGGTTGAGAATAGCAACGCTAGAAACAAAAACAAGAAATTATTATGTTAATATGCCTACACAAAAATTCAGTTACCTGGTTATGCAGTCCTGGCCAGTAACTATAACTTTGGACGAACCGGTGGTAATTACCACGGGATGCAGCGAAGAATTTATACTACATGTATTTTGAAAGAATATTTATTTATTAAAAATTATTAAACTTAGTTTGGAAAATCTAATTATTCATATTCTGATTGCTATGAATGGGTCAGCTTACCATAGCTAATAACTCTCGAACAACTATAAATTTAAATTGAGTTGTATATCAAGATTTGATTAAGCTCCAATTTAATTTATGTAATTTGGTACTAATTCCGTTGAAACACATTCCATGAAGAAAACATCACGCTTTTTAAATGTCAAAAATGAATGTCTGTC